CCCCAAAACCCCAAAACCCCATCAGACTAAAAATTTATAGGTAAAGTGATTTACAAATTTTAAAACTAATAAATATTTAAGACAAGGAGTAATTCAATATACTCATTTAATTACATTACCTTTTTCTTTATTCATTATTTATTATATTAATAAAGTAGTACCTTCAAGCTTTATTTGCTTACTTCCCTTTTTAGGTTTATCATAAGGTACTATATATTCTTGTTCCGAAATAAGTTATTAAATTGATTGCATCTTTGGCACTTTTATTATTTTGGGTATATATTTATGAGTAACAACAGGAGAGTTGTTTACTTATGCTTGAGCTAATTGATTTAATTGGATTTTATCTATACTCTTTTGCTCTTTTAGTTTTATTTATTCCAAAATCCTCTATTGCTAAGCTGAATTCAGGGTTGTCTTTCGATAGATAAAGTTGAATTTTGGCTTCTCAATGCTTTCAGGGCTTTGAATATTGGTAATAGTTTACTATATCAAAGGACTTGAGGATGAATTTAACAAATTCTGACGATACTATGGAATATTTTAGTTTTATAGTGTTCTAAAGATTTCATTGTTACTAATCGTATTCCATTTTGGAGAGGTAATATTAGAGCTCGGTTCTCTTATATTTAAAGGGGGCTTCTTTGAATGTGAGTAAGACTTAAGGATAGCTCTCATCGGGTAATTCTTATTATTTGAATGAGATATTCTAGCATACCTCTTATCATCAATTGATTTTCTCAACTACTTATTCAAGTTTATAGAGTGAGTTTGATAAGCTTACATATTACTATTGTAAATTTTCTACAAGCTATTTAAATTTAGCTTAAGTTTCAATAGCTTTTTACCAACAGCTCGAGGAGAGCCTTCATTAGAAAACCTATCTGTTTAAATATTATTGATAGGGGGATAGATAAGTGGAATCATTTCTACCACTTATTTTTAATCTTTACTCTAGTTTGAAAACGAATTTTAATTCCTCCTAGCTCACTTAGATTTATAAACATTATTGCACAACTTCGAAAAGTATTCTTTTTAATCATAGAATTAGCATGATGATGGCGTAAGGCTTCCGTTATTTTGAAAGTATTCCTTATTGCATTCATTGACAGCCTCATAAAAAACGGGATCTTATTTAGTAGGAGTAAGCATATAGTTCTAATTAAATTTCCTAGTTGTGGTTTTTCCAAACTAGATGAGCTGATTTGGCTGCTAATTTCTACTGCTATTCTAATTGCCCACTAAAATATTTTCTTCTTCAGCATCACCCCAAGCAGATAAGAATTCTCATTCAGTGAAATTCAATTAGGGGAAGTTTAAACTTTAAACTGATGATACTCTGGCTTTTTCAGCAGAAGGAGGAGGCTTTTAAGCTACAAATTGATTCATAGATATTTACTTCATTGTACTTTCAATATTATTTATAAAATTTCTTCTAACGAGAGTTAAAGCATAAAATATGGAAGGGGTTTTGGGGTTTTGGGGTTTTGGGG